TTATGGCCAATTGCATCAATCTTTGCTTGATACCTTCAAAGGAACGCTGTCACTTAGCGTTCCATGACCACTTGACATTTTTCTTGAGCAAGCACAAAAGATGAACAGTCATCTCGACGTAGTTGCGCGAGTACTTGTGCAAGTACGTCGCTGGCCCAAGGAATTCCTCAGTCCCTTGACATCGACAGTCACAAACCAGTCGGTAATCGCCTTGATCTTTTCGGGATCAGGGCGTACGCCGTGTTTACCCACGATGCACCCAAGAATTGGTATTTCGCTATCCTAGAATATACACTTCTTGAGGTTGGCATACAACTTATACTTGCGCATAAGTTGAAGAACCTGAAGAACGTGTGTTCTGTAAACTTCAACATCCGTCCTTCCATCCATATCCCGGCTATGGACGAACACATCGTCGAAGTAACTCGGTGCGAAATGTCGCACCGGTCTCAACAGATTTGTAACACATCTGTTGAATGTTGCAGGGGCGTTGCTCAGCCCCTGTGGCATCACTAGCCACTCCCACAGCATACTGCTGGGAGTGCTCACTGCTATGGACGCGATGTCTCGTTCACGCATGGGGATCTGATAGAAGCCATCCATCACGATTATGGACGATTAGTTGGTACTCTTAGACATACCATCTATGATGACGTCCTTCCTCGGTATCGGCGTCTGTTACGGAACTGTTGCAGCATTGAACTTGTTGAATAAGTGCACTATCCGCCACACTCTTGTTGCCTTTCGCACACAGAAGGCCGGAAAGCTGTGAGGGGAAGCTGATTCCCGCACATGGCCCGCTGCAAAGCGATCGGCAAAGACTTGTCGATAGCTACTACTTGTTCACGAGGAAGTGGCCGCCGCTTCATGACACAGTACTTCGAGCCCGGTTTGAGCTCGATCTCGTGTCGAGTGCCTTTGTCCTTAGGCAACTCGCAAGGTACGGATTCAGGGAACACATCCTTGAATTCGATCAAATCCTTATATAAAGTATTTTCCTGAAGTGACTCCCAGAATTGAGACGTGTATCGATCAATCCGAGTCTTCTCATCGAGGACACTTTTGTCCATCGATGACCGTTCATTCCCAGCGTATACTGTTGCCGACCGAATATCGGCCACATACCCATCCTCTGTGACGAGTATGCAGATCTGATTGACCTTGTCACAACGCAGATCGCGCAAGAACTGTTAAGGTTCTAGCGTTGGCAATAAAGATATGTACGAAGCTAACTTTGGAGGCACAATCAGATTAAGCGTATAAGCGTCTACGCTTGATCCAACATGGACCAAGACGTTCAACGTCTCGTATTTTCCTGAAAACTTGTCTACGCAGGCTGCTGATGGCTTGTCCGCTCAGTTTTCTTAGAGCCAAATATATTAGCAAATACCTCTTAAGTAGTTTCTTCCTCAAGTACGTGGGGACTTATTCCCTCGACGTCTTCTGACTGTGGCCGTGCAATCGCAGTCAGGTACCGATCCTCTACGGTCGACTCTCCAGCCGACCTAGGATAACCGTGTTGCCGTTTCTGAATAATGAATTTGTCCTTTCCAGGATGTTGCCCGCTAAGAATGCATCCATGTCCCGGTCCACTCGACTTATTCGAGTGGTGGACCTTCGGCGCAGCCTGTACATCTGTACAGCCGCCGGGAGTTTGCTCCACAGTGTAGTTATCAACTACACTGTGATCTTGTGCAGTCGTGCTAACGACCGTACCGCAAGTGAGGCCATCGCACTCACTCGCAGTACATCATCACGCTTGCGGACGCTGCATGACGTTCATCAGATATACATCTGATAAACAGGCGGCAGGCGTCTTCACGAACCCAGAGCGATAAAGTCATCATCGTACTGTTTGCCCTCTAACGTGTAGTGGATTTCTACTACACGTTTCTTCACAGTGATCGATGCGACTGTAGCAAGGCGCACTGTCATCCTTGTTGATGGAATATCTCGCTCAACGGACTTGATCCTACGACCCTCTAGTGACTGGCGACAAACAAAGTTGTTCGACGCCCCACAGTCAACTAGGGCACGAAGCGACAAATCATTTGTCACTTGCAACTTCAAGGTGATGAGTGGTACCTCATCACCAGGTGCAGAGACACACAACGATTGTGTACCCGGAGCAACTTTTGTCAAGAGATTTGCAAATTCTCTTGAGGTTGCTGGATAGTGGAACGCTCCACCCTTACTGACCCCGTCCATTTTTTGATGGCCCGCTTCGCTGTTGCGGTTTTGCAACAGCGCTGGACCCACGCCCAATGCCCTTTTTTGCAAATGGTCGTTCATTTCGCTCAGTACTGTTTGGTACTGGATGTGAGGCACAATACTCGTAAGCGTAGTGTCCTAGCTTCTGACAACGATTGCACTTCTGCGATCGCTTGTTGTATGAATAGCGATATCTTTTGCTCTCAACATAACAGAGGTACATTGGTTCTGGACCTCCGGTCTCCTGTCGTCTCGGTGGACTATAAGAGCTCGAGCTAGCATGAGCCTGTCTCATACTAAAGTCCTCCTGTTCCGCAGCTGCGATTGCTTGTTCGAGCGTATTCAGCTCAAGGTGGAACAGGTGACTCCTGACGGGACCATCTGCGAGCCCTTGTATGAACTCAGCAATCAACGTGTGTCCATGTACTGGGTTGGCAGTTATACTACTCGCGAGGAGTCGTATATGCTGAGCGTAAGCGTGCACATCACGCTTACCCTGATTGAGTTTCAGGAGATCTGATCGAGCTCTGGACTTAGCCCGTGGCGGTTCAAACGTTTGGTTGAGCCGGGTCTTAAAGGATATCAGCTACTCAAAGACGTATGGGTCGCTCATCTTCAGCCCTAAGGCCAAGTCTTGTCACGTCTAGCCAAGTGGGTTCGAGCAAATGTGAGTGTCTTTTGCTCATCGTCGATACGACTTGCCTTTATGGCTCTGTCTGGTTCGACGAACCATAGTAACAGGGAGTCTTCCTCGACTCCTCTGTACTTGGAGGTATCAACCTTTAATATTTCGGGATGACGCGTGTGTCATCCTATCCACAGCAGCATTGGATTGCTGCTTTCTCAACAGCTCTGTCTGTTGAGCACCGAGTTCTCTCAACTGATCGGCCTGTTGAGAGCCTTGCTGATGAAGCAAGGCTACCTTTTCTCTTTCGGCGACAAGCTCATTTTGAATGAACCTGGCTATAGTGGCATGTTGTTGGTCTCTGTCAAGAGACTCCAACATGGCGCTAATTGCGGTTTCGCCCACGGTAGAACTCATACGTCCTATCGCACTCCATTCGATGTCATCATATGGCTATAGCTTTCACGAGTGGCGTGAACGCTTTCCTCTTCATCCAACATGTTCATGTTGAATGAGATGATTGTGGTCGTTGGACGGACAACAAAGTGCTACCAAATGTAACGGGGCACGCTCTTACCAGATAACTGGTAAGACCTTGCTTCGATATAACACAAGGCTGCGTGCTCCCGACTTCACGTACACGTGGCGAGGAAGCGCGAGGAAGCAAACAGCACTAGCAAGCTCTGTCTACGGGAAAAAGTAGAACGGTATTTAATATAGTTATGCATCGATAATAAACCACCTTCGTCTTGATATAACTATACTAAACTACAATCTCCTATGTGGGTCTCTTGTTCACTACCCATTGCGTGCTTTCAGAAGCGATTGGTGGTTATTTTAGTTGATGTACCGTGTACATCAACCAAGAAGTGGAGCAACCACGAATATTACCGTCGGGGGTAATGTTCTGCCAACATTACCGTCGGGTTATATTCTGCTAACATGGCCTCTTTTCGAGTAATATTGATTGAATTTTATCTAAAATAAATAATATTCAAAAATTGATGCATTCGTATCTATTTTCATGTAACGGGCTCAACCCGTCACAAACCCAAACTTGTATCGTCATCGCCACCTCCATATTATTGGTCCGATTGCACTGTTCCGACTCGTCACAGAGTACATTCCACGTCATCTACCTTTGCTAGACACGCCCCTTGCACACAATAATAGCCGTTCGCTGACACGTAGCCCTGTTCCAGATACAGCACAGGAAACAATCGTAGCAAGAGACCGCTAGGCTAGTGATCTCGAAACGTTTTCTCTCTCGTCGCATTTGCCTGTACGTGGTCAGAGAGAGAGAGAGAGAGATACAATTCGACGCGTGACTGTTGCGATAACCTTCTATGCCAACATTCGCATGAACGAGAGCACCATAAAGTCAGCTACGCCTCAGAATCCATGCCGGCGTCGCGCATGGGCAAATAGCGATGTGACACCAAACGTGGCGCTTTCAGTACAAGCGCCATGTGCACCAAGGTTTTCCATCAACAACTGACGTTTGCGCCAAAGTTTGTCATTTCTCCATTGCAATCTCAGCAGTATATCCACCATGTCAACCGAGCATGCACTCAATTGTCTTCCAAGTTTGTCCACCTCACCGGTAGCGAAAGCCTCTTGTATGGCTACATTTCTGAATATGTCACACAAAGTGCAGAATTTTCAGACGATGGGAATCATTGCAAAAAGGTGGACGCTGGATGAGGTTGGAACAACGCGATCCCGGGAGTACAAAGCTCTTCCTTCACAGATAATTTGTGATAAACGAATGGAGGTAGACAATTAGCTCGCTCATGATGCAGTATCTCGCGAACGTACAGCTTCATGCGTGCAATTTACAACAAAACAGGCGTTTCGTCTAGCTGCGTAGCGAGCATGCCTGATCAAGTCATGTCGAAGCTGAAGACTCGACGGGAACGAGTGGGGGGATAAGCTGTGTTTCCAAAATAGCGCACCCAGCAACGCGAAGGTTGGAGCAAACTGGTGCTGAGAAAGCGCAAGTGTGAAGGAAACTGCGATGGTAGTCGATAAAGGGCGAGAAGTTGCAGATTATGCTCATGCTGCCACAAGCGCACGATACGCGAAGTATGTCTGAATAGATATGCCGCTCTATTCGCTTCCACCCACAGACTCTTACCCGTCGATGCATACTATGGTAAGCTGCTTAGTACAAGAAGGCTCGCAGCGTTTCGACCTCGACTTTCCTGCGTCTATGTTGCCCAATCTCACTCTGACGTTCACCTGTATCTTCACTATCGCCTTCGCAAACGGCGGCATCGAGGGCAGCTATAGCTGAAAGGTAATGCGTCCGCATACGCATATAGTGGACACGAGCGAAACGTCCTGCCGCCACGCGGCTAACTCGGTCCATCGACACTAGTTCCTCAACCGCGTGCTCGATTTCATCGAGCGTCACATGCACTGATGGTAGCTTTGCAAGAGCACTACCGTACGCAAGCCCTTGCTCCTTTTGCGCAAAGCCATTGTCTCCATCGGATACATCCTGGTCTGCAGCATCCGGTTCTGCCTGCATTTCTTCAACTACGCCACCAGCCGGGCTGTCGTAGTCAAACACACCGACACGCACGCCAGAGCTATCCGGTACCCACTCCTGCATTATCGGTGTGTTGTACGTCACAGTGACAGCGCCGACCGCTAAGCTTTCGAGCACTGTCACCTCGTACTTCTCTAGCTCTGGTGGCACTGGAAACAGATGCGTACCAATAGCGTTCTTGAGTCTTGTAATCTCCTGCGGTGCGTTGGCTTTTTCTTCGCACACCAAGTCCACGTTTGGCATGCGCGTCCTTGGCTTTTTGGCCCGATTCTCGTCCACGCTCTCCAGCCGGTCCCCAGCTTCGTCTGTACCAGCTGCTGCTTCTACATCGTCTTCGAAATCTTTCAGCAGGCTACTTAAAAGGCGCTGGTATGACTGGCAGAGCGCTAGTGAGCGCTGAAACCGCACATGAAGAACCGGCCACGTCGGGTGGGCCACCCATGCAGATAGCAGTTCCTCTGTAAATTGCTTCTCCTTGTCCGAGTCCCCTACAACGACAACATGCAGGAACTCGTCCCAATTTTTGCGGACGCGTCGGTCGTAGATATCAGGCACAGTAGCTTTCAGCAAGTACACACCAAAGTGACTTGCTGCGAGATCAGAAGCACCGAGATCTGTCGGCGGCATACCCCCCAACGCATCCAGCGCATGTGCGCCTGCTCTCCCTCGATGATCTCGCTCTTCTTGATGCCCCTGTCGAATCTTGAGCATCTGGCGCAGCGCAAACTCGGTCTTTACCAACACAAGATCCGGAAACCTCGGTGCGAACAGCGCTGCGCGCATTGCACTCACTGGAAAGAGAGCAGCAAACACACCGGCACGCGCAACGTCCGTCGTCTTGGTATTTCTATCGAGTGGACCAGCACCTACTGCCACATGCACGCGACTTGCAATTTTTGAGTGCAATGCACTTGCAGTCACCACTTGACTTCGCGGCCATAACAACGCCAATTCCGTTGTCTCGAAAGCTGTGGCACTGTCACTGTCGGTCGCAATAACAGCAAAACATGTCCAAGGGCGTCGAGCCTGTCCAGGTTGTCGAGTTCCCGAACTATACTGCTGCTCAAATTGTCGCTCGAGGTACTTTAATGCAGCATTTGTTGCTGCTGCTGATGGTGCAAGAGGCTGCATGGGGGGCACAACAGCTGCCTGCGGACGCTGTCGATCGTTTGCGGACGCCAATAAGCGCTCTTGGAACACACACTCGTGAACGCGGACCTCCAAGGGAACAGTGTAAAAGTAGCAGTAGATGAGTATCTCGAGCAGAAAAAGACTCACTGACGCGTACGTGAGGTACTGCGTCGGGTAGACCCAGTACTTGACCGGCCCCGCAGCTTCTTCGCCTCGCCAGCGCTTGATCCAGTTGCATGGGGTATAGACAAAGCACCACAGAGCTCTGTGTCGCCACGCGTCCACTTTCGATGCGGCAGCGGGAAAGCGCGACGCCCACGCAGTCCCCACTACTTGTGCGCCCGCGATCACATACTGCCCGATGACTCGTAACCACTTAAGGACTACTTGCGCGCACGCCCATAGTTGAGACCGCTGGATTACCGGCTCGTGGTCGTCACTGGGGCTACTGAAGTGGTTTGTACCGACTTTGACGGGTTTTAGCAGCCCAGTGCCAGTGTCGCAGCTCTCTGAGTCGCTCAGCGCGCCACCAGTTGACGCAGCAGTCGTCAAGTCGCTCTCACTCACTGCGACGGTCGATGCGCTCGAGCCGTCGTTTTCAATGTTTTCGAAGAAGCTGCGGCGACGCAGACGCGACGTCGGCTCAGGAGTCAGCTCGCTCATGTGGCCGCAGTGAGCGGTTGCTTTGATTGGGTGTGCGCGACTCAGATCTGAAAAAAACTCGTGTTCGGATCTTTTTTTGGGAGGGTCTTTGCCTATTCTGCTAGCCCTTTTCTAAAGCAGATAGAAATCGAGCCGAGGCGCTGTTTGACCAGTATCTGCTTTTCCGAGGCCACTCTATTGCAACAAATAGAGCATCGCCTACCGTAACCGAAACGCAAAACAGGTCAGCGAAGCTTTATGTTTTCGGTCACCATGCCGTTTCATGTCCGTCGTCTGTCCGTGCTGACAAGATAGACAAGGACGTGCCTCAAGCTTCTCTTTGATTAAGGCTTTGTGCGGCTTTTCACAACGACGGTAGCTGCCAGGCCCGAATATGTCCGCGAAGTGAAGCAGTGTCCGACGACCACTACCAGACGATTCGAATAATATGTGCGTTGATTGCAATACCTCCAGGCTACATTCGCTTTGTTTTTAGTAGAAGAGCACGGCCATCATCATAGGTCTATCGACCCCATCAACGACAGATCCGACTGGTCTCGACAAATCACCTCTACCTGATCAAGTACAAACGAAAGATTGTGGTACTGCCATCATCATCGGCACTTCCCATCTGGCGCCCTGGTGCGGACACGGACAGAGACGAGGACTTCGGAGAGCGCGAGATTTGGTTTACTTACCTTGGGTAAGTGGACCAAATTCCGCTTAGGTGGGGCCAAGGTTAAAAAAAGAAAGGTTATTTCTCGGTTGCGTTGCTACGATAAAAATGCAGCGTGCGATTTGAAAGGGAAGCAACCCACGAATGTCCCGCGATACGAGGAGTGTCGACAGAGATCGCCACCCCCGTGCCTGCGCCATAGTATCAGCTCTCCACGACTTGCCTTTTCTCGCGCCGACTCGTTTGCCGCGCGCGAAACCTACTCCCACGAAGGAAATCTCTCAAGAACGTGATGATGACCCTGTGAGAACCAGTACCTAGTTGTTAATGTCGAGTAAGCACCAGGCCAAGATATTTTTCATCTAGTGTTGAGCCTAGGCACGTCTATATTAGATCGTGCATTGGAGCCGGCTCAAGGAACAGGGCAAGTCAACGCCCACGGATGCGGCTGAGGATTACGTCCCAATGGGAAGCTAGGACCTCCTATGTGGAACAGACCTCCTTATTTGTTGGTGTCAATACGTCCATTATTATATAACTAACACTGATAAGTGTGACAAGAAGTACGCCCGGGTATCGGTCGACAACTAAAGGGCTCCGTAGAGCCAGGGCGAGGCAACGAGGTCAGAGACCCTCCTACCGAAGCCAACTAAGAGTCAATCATGACCTGCGACCAAGTAGACTGGGACATGCTACGCCGGAGCGGCAGCACGTACAACGCGGGTATGCTGCCATATAAGGCAACAAACCCCTTTAGGACCGCTTGCGCGGCCCCCGACGTGGAGTGCAACACCGGAGTATGCGTGGCGTGGAGAACGCCAACCCGCCGTCTATCTCTCCGAGGAGCTCAACCATCTGCGATGGTGGCCCCTTCAGCCTTGGCGGCCCCACGTGGAGTCATCACCAATATCTGGCGTGAGAACGCCAACCCGCCTATATCTCTCCGAGGGCTCAACCATCTGCGATGGTGGCCCCCTTCACCCTTCGCGCCCCCGACTGGAGTGCGATCACCGAAGTGACTGTGGCGTGGAGAACGCCAACCCGCCATATATCTCTCCGAGGGCTCAACCATCTGCGATGGTGGCCCCCTTCACCGCTTGCGCGCCCCCACGTGGAGTGCGATCACCGAAGTGACTGCGTGGCGTGGAGAACGCCAACCCGCCTATATCTCTCGAGGAGCTCAACCATCTGCGATGGTGGCCCCCTTCACCGCTTCGCCCCCCACGTGGAGTGCATCACCGAAGTGACTGCGTGGCGTGGAGAACGCCAACCCGCCTATCTCTCTCCGAGGAGCTCAACCATCTGCGATGGTGGCCCCCTTCAGCCGCTTCGCGGCCCTTGACGTGGAGTGTGCGCTCGCCGCAGCGCGCCGTGGCGCGGGGTACGCCTCCAGTCCGTAAAACACCCTGCTAGGCCGCTTCGCGACCCGTCGGTCTCCTACGCCCACACCCCGACTGCGAGTGCAGCGTGCCCGCGTCAGATCTTCTACCACGTCGGCTCCCCAAGGGGAGGATTCCTCCGACGTGACTCCCCGAAGGGAAAAAGACTGGCTTGAGCTGAACCGTGAAAATTTGGGAATCAGACAGACCTCCTTATTTATGCATCCTCTATCCCATGATGCAGATCGAAGCGCGAGCGCAGCTTAGCCATCCGGAGTGTGTGAGCACAAATGTTGAACCCCGGACTTGGTCAACGGTCATCCTCATGCGGCCTTCCGGGAGTGTCCCCCATGACGCCTGGTTTATCGAGCCAGCATAATGAGAGACGCAGTTGAGAAACGTTCGTGTCGTGGTATTTAACCGAGGCGCTTTCAACAAAGCGACTACATATGTAGTGATAAGCAGCTCTAGTAGAAAGTCTGCACTTTCTAAATGTATGAAGACCGCCAAGCCCAGCACGGTCGAAACATGCTTGCTGAGGTAAGACGAGGCAGCCCAAGCACGGTCGAAATTTGCTTGGTGAAAGATAGGCCACGAGGCAGCCTATCGTCATCGCACAAGAGAGGCTACGAGGCAACGCCGAGTGACACAAAGACGTGGGACCGAGCGCCGCGAGCCGACTATCCACAACCCACTGAACCCTGACGAATCTACTCCTTTGTGCAAGCGACGGCGCATCTGCCTTTCTCGCATGGGTTGTTTGCGTCCTCCCCTGTCGTCCGTTCTGGACCGAGCGCGTGGCTTTCTTCATTCTTGGGCGCTGCTGCGCAAACTGTCATTCCGCTTTTTGCCGAAGACTACCGAGCACACCACACAACACCAAGCAACAGACCCGCGCCAACGAGGATGAAAGTCATCTTGTCCATCTTGATCGCCGCCGTCGCCTTCGATCCTGTGTGTAGCAAACCTCAAGCAGGCGTTTGCGGGGACCGAAATGCATGCAAGCACTTTGATGGCTCTGTTATCGATAGCTTTTCAACCGCCTGTAATGCCAAAAGTGTTGACTACGGTAGCGCCTCAACCTGCTGTGCGCAAACATGTGCCGCTGCGAACTGCATTGATAATGGAGCTATCCCCAAAGAGAACGCTGACCCCGTATTTGTTCGCGCTGTCGAAAACCATTGCTTGACTCAATATCCGAAGCTTGGACCAGACTACAAGAACTGCTGCCGAGAACTGCAACGGTGGTATCCGCCCGCCTGTATGCCCCGGAGCTCCTGAAATGCGAGAACCGTCGCCGGGTGGGGGTGTTGCGTGACCAACCTCTGACACACCATCACTTGGAGGACCATTTGAAATGATGCGGAGATGAGGTTCTCGGCAAGCTCATGGAGTTGTGCAAATCCGTTGGTAACCGACGAAGGCAGCAGTAGGCGTCAGCTAGTTTTAATACAAAGAAGTGTCCACTGCTTGCTAGACTGTCTTGTGATCTGTTGCGTCTTGTTGTCTTTGTGTTGCATCTTTAACGCAAGTAGTCGTCTGTGTCGGACAGTATCGTTCGCCAGCGACTAATTACCGGACAAGACTGTCGACAATCACGTGTTAATGTATGACGAAGCTACTGGTAAAGGTTGTGCGATAAACGGTCGCCGAATCGAGTCGCCCAGTAGTTGCTGTCGACCGCTCATCATCATTTTGCTCTTTGGTCTCTATGATACTACAATTGTGCAAAGACCCACTCATTCGCAAGCACTGAGTCAGTGTGTAGTCAAAGGAGCTTCAAAACATATGTGCCACCTATGGTTTGACGCGCTTCTAGCGGCCTGCGTTGTGCATTCAACGATAGGTACAAGTGGCGGAATTTGGCAAACGCGTACTAACGCAAGCCGTGTCTCTGACGTAAAGGTCATTTAAACTGAGCAGAACAGTCGCCACGTACCGGCCCACTCATACATGTAACTCCTTATCAATACAGTTGGACTCCTCTTAGCTAATCCTCTATCCGTTAATACTATTTGTAGTTGATAAATGACTACGACCCTACGTGGCAGCCATCTTCCCCTTGATACTGTACAATTGTATTTGGATCACGTGACTACCGAACCCTTTCTACCTAATATCATCCAATACCTATTTTGCTTATGTTAGCCCATTGCATCAGCTGAGATGGATTCTACTGTAGCCTCTTTTTTGAGTCAAAACGACTAATGGTGTGAGGTCATTAAAATCATATCCAGAGACTATGTCCTTCTTAAATGATCCCTTCAACCGTAAGGGCTCCATACGATTAATATACTGCCTTTAATATATTCGCTACAGATACGGTCCAGCACGACGATCAAATCAACACCTTGCCCATATTGTACGAAGAACATCTACAAAAGCAGTCGATAGCAATGACTGGAAAATGAGGACCGTAGTTTGAGGGCAAGTAGATATGAATATCAAGAAATGTGCTGCTGTGATTGCCCAAGCAGATCATACTACAAATTGCTATTCTGGGCTTAGAATGCACGTGAACTGTAAGTCTGAGATGTCAGCATACTCATGAGATATCTGCCATGATCGGTATTGATCTGCAGAAAAGACGTTGTACCGTGATTGATAGTAGGTAGCGCTATCGGCCCTGTATGTAAAAAGACAGAGATTTTTTTAGCATCTCGCCATCCTTACTTTTGCTTCGTATTCTTGATTCCTCGTAGCTCCGCAATAATTATAACAGTATGCATTTTTTTTTACCAAAAGCTAAATTACTTGCCAAGAAGGTAGAAGCTTCGTAAACTGTTGGCCCACCCGCTGGCGCATCGAGGTGTTTCTGGGGCGTCTCAGCGACGGTAATGTGATGTCTTAAGTAGATTCTCTGGATTTATCACTATCTAGACGCTACGGTTCAATTACACAGATATACAATGATATGGCGTAGTAGAACCTACGTCAACGTCGTCTCGTGCAAAAACTCAGCGTGG